CACCCACTCCCACGTCGTTGTCGCGCCATCCCAGCCAGCTTAACAGCTCAAGAGACCACTTCTGGCATGCATAGATAGCGCAGGGCACGGGAGCGCTGTTCCCCACCACGCGCAACACGCTGTGATCCGACACGCTCAATCCGTGGCGCATATACAGAAGACTTTCCCCGGAGGACATTGTGCTGTTGAGCAGCGCAAAAACAGAGTGATCACTGACACTGAGGATATTCATGTAAAGCATGTGTGCGTATCCATCGAAGCTGCAGTACCGCGTGTAAAGAGAGCTGCCACCCACCAGCGTCAGCGTCCCGGTCGAGTACAAACCATACGCATCTTGCTTCGTTGCAAGCGCATTGACATTGCTGACCAGCAGCGAAGACGCACTCAGCACAACATTCTTCAGTAACAGTACGCTAAGCTTGTTCCTCCCGGTGTCCGGCAGATGGACCTCAGAAGACTGCACCGCGTCAACCTCCGTGACGGCAACGTCGCAGTGCTGCGGGAGGGCACGTATAAACGCAACAACAGAGGACCGCATCACCGTCTGGCTCACGCGGATCAGGACGCCGGATGACTCGGCCGCCCCAGCACCCCCAACAAACTGCAGCGCGGCTCCGTCACGGAATGTGCACCCGGTGAACGTGATGTTGATGGGGAGATGCAGCGGCATACTGTCAAAGAAAAAAGTCAGCGTAGCACCCACGCCGCTGAATGTCACACCCGCGTAGCAGTGGTGCGTCTTCCACATGTTCAGCGTGAGGTTCGTCAGCGTCTGGTCCACCACGCAGCTCGTGTCGCCGTCGACGGCTCTCTCCGCCACGGGCGGCACAACCGTGTCGGGCACCTCGAGGGGAAGACACGACGCGCCATGCCATCCGTTCTTGCAGCTGCACGAGCACGAGCCGCGGTCCACCAACTCCGTCCCGGGCATGTAGCACGCCGCGTCGTCGTCGCACGTGCCGCACCTGAACACCTCCACGTCCCCAAGAAACACATCGTCGTACGACACCTCCTCATCCCCCTGCAGGTTGCACCCAACGACCAACCGCGCGGGTGGCTTCTTGACCATGCTCGGCAGAGCCAGATCAGCAAAGGAATAACTATCGTCTACCTGACGGTTGTTTGATAGCACCACGGTGGTGCTGCTGCCCGACAGCCTCATTTTGTGCTTGGAAAGTGGCATACTCAACAATGAGGCTGCGCTCACTTTGTTGCCCTCCACACGCCACTGCGCTCCACCCTCGAGTGTCACAGAACCGTCCAAAAACACTAGCGTGGAATCAAAACTCTCCTTCCTGCCAACGAAGGTGCAGTCCGCCACTCGCAGCAGCCCCGCGGAGCTCACGGTGGCATGCAAAAACAGTTCGATGCCAATGGCCGCTCTCATCGTGTTGTTCTCAATGTCAAAGTAGCCGCCGTTCCTCACATCAACAGCGTGTAAACAAACGGCTGATCCCATACGGCGTCTATTATCCGTTGTCATCAGCACATTTCCCTTCACAATGATTCCGCCACCATCAACAACAACAGCAACGGGGAAATAAACTGCGTACCTATTCCCCTCGATGCGGTTGTCGAGTAGCAGCAGCGTCGAGTTCGCACCGAGAGTAAACTCCAAAAATAAAATGGCGTAATATGACGTCGTCACAGTTGCACTGCCAACCACCAGTATCAGGGAGCTCACGCCAAAATGGCCCTCAAACTCCAACGCTCCGGCGTCCAGCATCGAGGAGACAACGCTCACGTGCACATGCGCACCATTCCCCTTGATCGACAGGCCCATGAAAACGCACTGCAGCAGCGTGATGTTGAGTGTCTGTTGTGGCGCGTCGAAATACGACAGGTCCAGCACAATCGCGGCGGTGAAGGTCACGTTGACGAAGCACAGACCACGCACACCGGGATCAGGATAGTCCACGGAGCTGATGATGCCACCGTGCACGCAGCGGATCTCCGTGTCGTCCGCTTCGGGGAGCGGGAGCGGCCCAAGACCGTCCGGAACAGCAGCCGGCAGACACGTGTCGCCGTAGCCACCAGCAGCGCACACGCACCGGCAGCCGCTGATGCTGCTCGTCCTCGCTGCAAAGCACACGGCGTCCATGGTGCACGCACCACAGTCCAACACCCTCACGGGCGCCACAATATTGAGGTCATCTCCGTAATTCGTCAGAGGAGAGCCCCTTGCCTCGTTGCAGACGCCGTAGATGGTCGGGCGCGCGTCGGATGTTGGTGACCAGTTGCTTGTCATGTATGCGATGGTTGACGAGTACGAGCCGTAGTTGAAGTTGTTGTCAAGTATCGACCACACACTCCGATCGCGGAACGCCATGCCGTAGTAGCTGGCCACGTACACAACGTAGGCGGTGCGGAACTCGTTGTCGCGGTGCACCAGCCAGCTGCCGTCAGCCACGGTCAGCGTGGTTGCAATGAGCATGGCAAAGCCGAGACGGAAAGTGCTGGACACAATCTGCAGCACGCTGCCGCCATCCACCACAACGCCCTCAAACACACACGCGCCCCTGTAATATTCGGTGCTCGGCGCACTCCACGAGCTGTTCTGTATGGAGAACACGGAGCCGCCGCTGACACGCAGGTCCGACGCAAGGGCGTAAATCACGTGCATCTGCGCATTGACAACGCAGCTGTCCATGTAGAAGGTGCTGGACAGGTTCGCGCAAAAGCCGCGCTCCACGAGGATCGCAGCGCACGAGCCTCCGCCACACACCATCGTCGACCGCGTCACGACAAACCGCGTCGACAGCAGCCGGACGCCGTCCAGGACAAGCGCGGGGCCGTACCGAAATTCCTCGTGGCCACGGGTCGTCGTCACGTACTGCGACCCGCCAACCGTCGCGCGCAGCGTTGAGTTCGCCAGCAGCACACTCGAGTTCGGCGGCATCGCGCCATGCAGCACGATCGTGCCCTCCAGCGACGTCACATTCGTCACGTTGACGAGGGCGTACGGCACCAGGCGCGCCGTGCTCTCGCTGAGGCCGCCAATCCGCAGCCGCACACCGCCCGCAAGCACGCAGTGGTGCAGCGTCACGTTCAGCGCGTCAGCAAACGCGTCCATCGAGCGCAGGTCCACCGCCACAGTGATCGGCCCGCTGAACACCACCGAGTCGAAGCACGCCGTCGCACGCCCGCCGCCAACCGTCACCGACTCCGTCAGCGTCACGCCACTCACGCAGCCCGGCGCACCGCCACCACCGCCGCCGGCCCTCGCAGGCGGCACGTCGAACGGCAGGCACGTCTCGCCCAAGCCGCCAGCAAGGCAGCTGCACACGCAGTCAGAGAACGACGCCGTCAGCGCATCAAAGCACGCCAGCACTGCCGCACAGCCGCCGCACGGCACCACGCTCACGGAGGGCAGGCCGGCCATGCGGTAGTCGCCGCTGCTCCGCAGCACCCGGCCGCCGGCACGGTTGCACTGCACGGCCACGACGCCGCTCGTGATCGCCGGTCCGGCGACAAGCGTCGCGCCAGTGGCAGCGCAACGCGCAATCGACACGGTGCCGCCGCTCAGCGTCACCCCCGACAGCGATGCCACGGACGACGTCTCGCCCACCGCCCACACGTCGTGCAGGTCCAGCCACCCGCCGCCACCGATCGTTCCACCGTCGCAGCGCACCAGCGACGACGCGACAGACCCCTCGACGCCCACGAAGCGCAGCACCGAATCAACCACCTCGAGGCGCTCGCCAAGCACAAGGCCGCCGCCGCTGCTCACAACCGAGACGTTCGTCACGGAGAACACCGAGTGGCTCCGCAGACTGAGACGCGACGAGGACGCCACACGCATCGCGGACGCGGTCAGACCGCCCGACGCCTCCAGCGACACGCCGTCAAGCACCACAGCGCTCGACAGCAGGTCCACGCCGCCGCCAACGTACACCGCCGACCCGCCCGCCTGCAACGACCTCAGCACAGTGTTGCTCACACGCAGCTGCGACTGCAACAGTGACGTCGCGTGCAGCACAAGCGGCGACGCCACAGCGTCCGTCAGCCCGCTCAGCTGCGAGTAGCGCATCGGTCCCGCCGTCACAATCGTCGAGTCACGGACCGTCACGTTCGTGTGTGCCGGCAGGTTGTGCACAAACACAAGCGAGCAGTAGTCACCGGACAGCCCGCTCACACTCACCTCCAGGCTCCGGTCACTCGCCGGCTCGCCGCTGTAGCCCCGCACGTAGATCTGCGCACCGCCGTCGCACACGCAGTTCCTCAGTTCGATGCGCAGAGCGCCGGGAAGCATCGCCGCCACGTCGAACACCACGGCCACGCCGTTCGTGATGGACACGCCGTCCATCAGCACCGTGTCCACGGCGCGGCCAACCGTGATGGCTCTGTCCACCGTGCCGCCCCGCAGTCGCAACACCACCGCATGCACCGCGGGCACCCACGCCGCCGCCGCAACCAGCGACAACAAAACAAGCAGCGCCGCACGCACAGCCGCAATGGCCCTGTGCCGCACACGGTGCCGGCCGCGCGGACACGCGCCCACCGCAGACCACATCCACAGACCCAAACAGATATCAACAGGGCTGCCGTGGTGTGTTGCACTCGACCCGTCAACCATAACTCCTGTCCAACAAATCCTGTTCTACAAATGGAAAATCCAGAAACACAATTCCGCCAGATCTTTAACCCACTACTGCTTATCCTAATAGTGCAATTAATCCCTAATAGCTTGAAACGATAGTTGTGCTGGTCAATCCAAAGTATCTCTATCTGCTTGATCAGAGGAAAGGAAGGCAGAGACAACAGCAAATAAAGAAATTGGCACGCAGAAGCATCCAGCCACAGACAGTCCCCACCAATGCACAGCCACCGACACAAAAAAGCACAGACGCAACCACGCCAGTGACACCCTCGCCCTCCCACCGCCCACGCAGCTCCACACAGCCACCATTCAGAGTGGCGCTATTTCAGCAAAAAGACACATGACCATTGGCACCGCTCCTGTTGCCGAATGGCTGCATCACAGAGCAGTCCCGATGCCGTGAAAGACACACAAGAGACGGGACAGACCCGCATGGCGGCGTCGCAACCGACAGCCATCGAGCGCGTAAAAGAATAAAGTGCTGACGCGGGAAAGGGGTGGAGGATTCGCCAGTTGCCAGCAGTCAAAGCGTCGTTTTTCGCTCACGTGGGTCGGCATTGCACAACACACAGCGGCACCATACGCGCAGACGGCATTACACACAGAAGGAAGGGATGAAGAAGCACGGCGGCGGCCCCCAGTCACGAGAAACCCTAACCCAAATCAATTGCACAGTCCGATTGGCTCGCAGCCGCCCGGATGGTGGTCGCGTCGCTGCCGTGCGGTGCGTGTGTCTACAGAAAACTGCAATGATGAAGAAAGGGGAAAGAGACGCAGTGCGGTCCTCGTCCATCTCAGTTGGTCGTGGCAACAACGACACCATCCCTCCAGATTGCCTGCAGCAGAGACTGTCGCATTCAGCAGAGGTTGGTGCCTTCCTCCCCAAACTGGGGCGCCACTCCACCAAAGCCGTCGCTCGTCGACTCCCCCAACACAATGAGGGAGCAACAGTGGACGATGCGGCACGTGCGACGAACACGCAGCCACCGTGACCAAGAAAGGGAAGCTGCGCAGCGCAAGCAAAATGAAAATACAACAAGTACTCCATCATTTCAATAGGACGTGGAAACACCGCAACCCACACAAAAAAACGCAAAGCCGTGCAGTGGCCGTTTCTTCTTTGGCATTGACTACTCTCAAATAACTCCCATGGCCGCACGCCAGCCACCATCGTCGAGCACATCCGCCCAATGAGTAGGGATGTGAAGAAGTGCCCCGGCCCCAGGAGAGGGCGCTGCAGTGGAGGGCGTGAAACACACAATTGTTACGCATCCTCCACGGTCAATCGCGGTGTCTCAATCATCCGTTTTTGCCAATAATCAGTAAAATAACAGGCCCGAATAATCTTCTGGGCCGCTGGCCGGATCCTAAAATTATCTATATAAAACAAACAGGATAGGGGAAAAAGAGGGGATTAATGCAGAGGCATTTAATTGCCTCAATGTTTTCTTCTGATTAAATATATATATATATATATATATATATTCTTTTGAGCGCTAAAGTGACCTTTTTTACTCAGCTAGGATCTAGAATGCTATTGCTTACGAAGTGGCAGTCTTTTTGGTCCTCCAGCCACAATCCCCCGCCGCATGGTGGGAATCAAAGGGGTGTGGGTGGAATGGCAAAATAAAAATAAAATTATCTAGCCGCCATCGGTTCCCTGATGTCCTTAAAGTCGTGGCATTCCCAAAATTCGTAATAAAAAAGTGTGTCGTAAAAAAATTGTATTCGTTTTATCAGGATACATACAGTAAGTTGGCCAGCTCTCCCGCGATCATTCCCTTCACAAGCTCCTAGAAAAATTATATGGAGAGATATAAATACGAAAATAGGCATCAATAAAAACAAAGTAACTTTTTGATACTCATACCCACACCGATATCGCTATACATTGATCGATGCTTATCTTCTTGTTTATATGGATACATCCCTTCTCTCCCCTCCAAATTGAAAGATTGCTTGGTTTCTTGGTTTATTGGATTGCTACTTTATTGGCCGCGTATGTATATAGATAGACATTTAAATATCGGTATTAATATCTATTCAGCGCTGTTGATATATACTGCTACTATCACTCGTGTCTGCCCAAACAAATACGAAGACTCACACGCCAACCGCCATCGCAGAGCACGTCCGCCCAATGATCGGAGGTCTGAAAGAAAGCCCCGACACCCGAAGTGGGAGCCGCAGCGGAGTAAATGCAGACTTGCCTCTTCGCACAGTTCAAATCGGCCGGTTCTCACAATTTCCGGTCAATGCCGTGGCGCGCCGTGCGGTAGCGGGTCAGTCAGTCACTGCTGTGGCACTGAAACACGCACGCCGGACGGCGAAGCTCAGCCGGTGGTGATTCCATTGGTCTGTCGTCGCCGGGCAACGTGCGTCTTCTCGGTGGTCTGGCCCCTCTGCCGTCGTGGAAACCGGCGACAGCGTGACGTTCACCAACGCATGTGTGCCTGCCATTTTAGGCACGCGGTGCACTTTTTCTCGGTGGAATTCTCCTGCGCGGAGACGGGGTTTCTGTGATGTTCTTCATGCGGAGGTTCGGGCTTTGCAGCGCGTGGTTATTTAATCTCTATTTTTTATTGTCACGACTTTCTTGCTTTCGGGTGTTTGTGCCGTGTGTGGGTGGTCAATCCCCGGCATTGCCCGCCTGCCCGTCACATTAAAAGCGTTTACAAAGTGCTTCCCTCTTCGGTGCCGATCGTGGCTCTGTTCTGGAGCGTTCGTGTGCTCGTATGCGGGACAGTGGTCCCGCTTTCGCTTGAACCCTCAATTCGCACTGTACATGCATTCGAACGGGGTGCATGCCGTCACGCCGCCATATTCCTGGCAACGCCCCCTATTTGTCGGGGGAACTCTTGCTTGTGGAAGTGCCGAAGATGAAACACGATTCCGGCTTGCCCTACGACGCCGTGCGGAAAATGCATGAGAGTGACTTCGGCCTGGGCTGTGCGGTCTGCAGCGGAGGTGCGATCGGCGTGCCGTCCCTCGCTCTCGTCCCCGCTCAAGTGGCGGGTGTTGGTTCCGGTGGGATTTCTGGCGGTTCCGACTCATTGGGAAAGCTGAATTCCCGCAGCGCCTGGGGGCGCGTCATGCCCTGGGCGTCAACCATGTGCGTCACGACACTAGTGCGGCAGCTGCAGTGCCTTCCGCACACCGGGCAGTCTGCCGGCCGTCGGATCGTGGCGGGCTGGGTCCAGTGGGAGGAGGCGGCGTTTCCGTGCGAAGTTCTTTGCGTGCCTGCTGTGCGGCATCCGAGCCGCACCAACAGCATGTGCGTGGGATGGCGGGCCGCAGTGGTCGTAGCAGCCATCCGTATTTGTGCGAAACTCCGCTGCGGAGGCGGGCCAGTGCGGCCTCTTCCCCACGAGTGAGGGTGGCGTCCGTGCGCGTGGGTTCCCAGTCGCCTCTTACGGCGGAGCGGCGAGCCTCTGGCTTGAGCTGTCGGGCACGAATAATACCTTCGGCCAGTGCGACGATGCCGGTGCTCCATGTGTCTGTGAGCTGTGAGAGATCAGACGCCTTCTCGGATTCCGCATCACAAGCTTCGTTCCTGGACACGCCGCAGTGGCCAAGGACAAGCTGCATCCGTGTGCACGCTCCTCGGCGTTGCGGGCAAGAAAAAAGGGTACGTCCACAATGTGAGTCACCAGGTGATCCAGAACCGTCGACGTCTGCTCGCGTGCCTCCACGGTTCGACGAGTAGGTGCATGGGCGCACGCTGCCGTGGAAAAAGTCCCGGTAAATATCGTACTCTCCATGCTAACGCCAAATCCCTCTGTATCTGCTGTGCTGCATGAATTTCGCACGGCCGGAGGGGAATTGGGAAAAGAAGCAATTCCTCGTGTGGGCATCCCCGTACCAGCGTGGCCAATCCGCGACGACATCCCTTGCCGGTGGAATGCGGTGCGCTCGAGGGCAAGCGTGGAACGTGACTGGGATGGCTTGGTCCGTCGCTTCCACCGCTAAAGAGACAACAATCACCCTGTGCACTCGCCACACCATGGCAGGCCGGAATTACGACAATGCGTCGTGCCTCAATACATAATCCCGCTCAAAGACGTTCCTGGAGGCCTGGAGACCCGCTGCTACTCTGTCGACCCTTTGCTCCTGCAAAAATTAATGCCCCCTGCATGTAAACCCACGATAAGGCAGAGCCGCAATTCATTAATTCCGCTAGGCGGTTCACCGTACCCTTCCTCCATTGCACAAAATGAGCGTTGAGTTCCTCGCACGCAACTCCATAAAATTACAGTCCGGTACAACATGGCATCAGGAGCAACGAGAGCGACAACTCAATACCCTTCCACACAGTCATCGTGGAACGGGAAAAACTCCTGGAAGCACCCGCTCAAAAAAGAAACAAATCGATAGAAACACCAATCAACAACACGGTGCCGTGAGCGATGGCCGGCTGTGGGGCGCAGCACATCCGTGGCTCCGCACCCACCCCCCATCAACCAACACCGCATAATTAATAACTCCAAGTGTTACACGTCACATGCCGGCGTGACCAATTTTGCCGTTCGCACTCAATGCACGGTCCAGTAGGCTCAGAGTGTCTGAGCGGGTGTCACCAGCCATAGGCTGCAGCGGCGGTGCGGGTGGTCGGTACGACGACGCGCCGGTGGTGCCTGAGGCGTACGACGATGACGTCACGTTGTGGGGCTTCTGCGTCTCTTCGTCGCTCTCCTCGTCATCGCACAGCAGCGCCTCCAGCCCGCCACGCCGCGGCTCGCGCAGCTCCTGCCAGTGACGGTCCTCCGCGTACCACACAACGACGCCGTACACAGTGACCGCAAGCAGCACTGTCGTCAGCAGCAGCACCGTAGCCGCGTACGCCCTCGCACCGCCGTCGCTCGGCGCAAGGTGGTTGGCCGCGCTGACCACACACAGCGCCGCAAGGAGCACAAAGCTCGCCGCGTGCATCACCGTCAGGAAGGCCGAGCGCATCATGTTCGTGAAGGCAACCACGC